ATAGGTAGAATTGTAGCCAGATTGTGCACAGATGTTGGCTGGTGTGTCCTGGTGAGAATTTTACCTGTAAATGTGCATAATCAACATAGTATAGGGGGTTCAATTGGACCCCCCGCTCAGCCGTTTGGCCCCTGATCAAGCTAGAGCTTCGCGGCAAAGTCAAGCGTGCTGCCTATGACGAAATTAGGCCGAATATATCCAATTTCAAAGTCCAAGGTCATAAGCTGACTTTCCAAGTCAGTTTAATGACCCAACTAAAGTTGGGAAATCGAGACCTCTTGAAACTTCGCAAAGTTAGGGTGTTACGGGGTATTTTGGGGTGCTGATCACGAATTTCATGTTAGTTTTGATCACAGACGATGTCTTTATGCATTTAGGCCAGGTCGGGTCAGGTCAGGTTAGATCAATTAGTAGGCGTCCTGCCGGCCATCCATAGAAGTGTCACCTACTACTGATAGCTTCGTAACATGGAACGAAGGCACTAGAACTACTTCGTAAGTATTCAAATGGCTGCTAAAATCGAAATCAGCACCAAAAACTACCCTAGAAACAAGTAAAACTCGAAAAAGTGAACCAAGGTCATCAAAAGGTCAATGACCTTGATTTGACCTTCACGTGACCTTGACACCCACCATTATGCATGGCACCAACATCATTTCACATATTTGAACGTTTAAAACCACAAAAAGACTGGAAACCGCGGATAATGTGAGCTGGCATACGCCGAATCGCGATTCCGGCCAAACATGGTCTCGAGAAATATGCCACAGGTCAAAGGTCAGTTGGGTCAGAGTCATGAAATTTTTAGGTTAGATGTAAAATTGATGATCTCGAGGGTACCGAAAGTTTCGGCGCGATCGGCCGCTTTTTGCGCGAGTAATTTGCGGAAAACCATGGGGTTTTATCCGAACCCTTCCCCCTCCCCCTCCCCACAAGTGCGATGGTTATAAGGTTACGGTATGTATAATTTACGCTTGTCATCCTATTCCTAATGAATGTGTCTCAGAAAATATGCATCATATAAATCACGAAGTAAAATTATTCGCCTATGTCCGGAACATACCTATATCGTGCTGTTTGCCCTAGCGCTCCTCAAGTGGGGTGTTAAGATACTCTAATGTGAATATTCCGTGTTCAGGCAAGTTTCGGCAGCCAAACTAGGCGTTGTCTTGTGCAGAAGAAAGTGGCGAATTCCATAGGATATATTTCAGAGTGGAAAAGTGTGGAGAACATTGTTGATTTCCTACATTTATTTAGAATACCATTCCTTCAATATGGTGTCTGTAAGGGTTTTTTGTAAAGGGCATTTTTGTGACCTTAGTAAGGTTGTGGCATACTTTTTGTTTGCCATTCCATTCCTAATAAAGGTGCCTTTCAGACGATATGCAACTTTAAGACCTCGCAAGATTAAAACCAACAGGACAGGACAATGAAATTGAGCTATACTTTCGGGCCTTGCTGAGCCCATTGAGTAATCACGCATGAGTGTGAACTTTGGGCGCATGTTTCCTAGTTTTGCTGTGGACATACAGATAAAACAATGCCATATATGAAAAATTCAGACATTTCTTAGCCCTACTGACACAAAAAAATCAACAAAAATCCAAAAAATATTTTTTGAATTAATAGGCGCTAGATCGGAAAAATCCCCACTGTGCACTGTTAGAATATTCAAGCTGTGTCTGGGATCCAAGTGCAGAGGGAACGAAGCATGAACTAGAAATGATACAAAGACGTGCTGTAAGATTTGTTTTAGATGATTATTCGAGGGATAGTAGTTAGTACCTAGTGTTAGCAGGATGTTGTCTGATATTGGCTGGAAAAATCTAGAGGCCCGACGCCGAGCTGCTAGATTATGCTTGATGTTTAAATTATGCAGTGGCTTTAGCAGATTAGATGTCAGTGGCATCCTCATACAACCTGATTACATAGGAAGAAATGATCGCAGCAAAAAGGTTAGACGACTTCAATCACGACTTTTGTCCTATCACAACTCATATTTTCCTCGAACTATCCGTGACTGGAACAACTTGCCTGCGAGGCTCATAGAAGCAGAAAGTGCCGCAGCTTTCCAAAAATATGTCTTAGAAGAAAATAACAATTAGTTTTTATTAACAATAGTAGTCCCCTTGCGAACGACAAATGCTTGAAATCAATTGTATGTCGACTATTTTCACATTACATAACTTATGCTCTGTGTACTGTGTGCCTATCATTGTAAAAATGTCAAAATGTGCATGGAACGAACGTGTGCGATTGTCGTTAGAAATGAGAGAGCAACCTGAATGTGATTGCGTATGACTGTTAGATGGATGAATGCTGGTCATCGTCATCGTCATGAGTTTTAGCAAACATCACCAAGGCCATTCTTTGGCAACTGTGATTGTGTCGCATGAATATATGAATATATGAATGGTATCTAACAGTTTTTCGCAAATAACTTTTGATAGAGGCATGCTAGAGCGATGAAAACGCCTTAGATGTGTTCAGCTCGACGATACGGATCGACTGGTATGCAACATGACCCTTTCCGGTCAGGTCATGACCTTGACCTGAGGTCAAATTTTCAAGTTGACCTTTCAAGGTCAAGTTATAGTTCATTCGATGCGTCTTGACGAGAGGAACACGATGCCGGTGAAAGTAAGCTCGTACAAGGCTTGGGTCAAAAGTTATTGCATTAAAACTGTTTCCGAAAAAATCGGCTATTTTTGCAGTTTTTGCCCCCTGCAGGCAAAACCGTTGAAGTTAGGTCAAATCTGAGAGAATTACTCAGAAAGGGCGTTAAAAGGGCTATCGAATGCGCTTTTTCGCGGCGTTGTAGCTCTATTGGTTCCCGAGTTATGCGTTGGCTTCTTGGAAATTGTCGACATTCGACCTGGAAATCGGCGAAATTTTGCCTTCAATGACCTCTGGTGACCTGACCTTTGACCTGACCAAAAAATTGACCGAAGTGATTTCGTCATTATTTTTGACGCCCTTTCGAACGCCGCCTTCCGCGTATCGCTACGTGGCCCAAGAGGCGAGTTACAAGGGGGGGTGTTCAAACCCCCCCAGCAGGGCGTGGAAATCCAGGACCCCCAGCCGGGCGCGGGTTAAGTGACAGTGAAGAAACAAGGGGTGCCGTTACAAAGGCTATACCCCGATCTACATCTACATCTACATCTTTCGAGGTCAAAACATACATAATTCGATGCGGGTTGACGAGAGGATCACGATGGTGTCATTTGTTAGTTTCTAGCTTGGCTACTTCGAAAGTTATTCGAGAAAAACTTCATTTCTAGCGCCGCCATTTCGACTTGTTCTACCCCTGTCCCCTGTGACGTAATCTTTGACCTGACCTGAAAATGACCTGTGTAAAAATTGTAGACCTTGTCCGTGCGTACCCCATGCCGTTTACTGCTTGTCGTTATCTTGCTTCGTTCTCGAGATCTCAGGGGGGGGGGGGGTTCAACCGCCCTGCCCTCGACAATTCTAAGTTGGCGCAGACCCCCGTCGGTGCGCTGGTTAAAGGGAGATTATGACCTTTTTCCACAAAATCTGAGTTAGGACCATTTTCTGACAAAACACAACAAGTTATAATGTAAATTAAAACCATTTTGCTCAATTCGGTACCTTGCCGCAAATATCTCAACTTGAAGTCACGTTAGCGGGGAGCGCTGAAAATGACCGTTGAATAAGTACTTACATCACTTTTTGGTACTTGCATGTAATTTTGTAAAATGAGCGTATTCATTACATTTGATCTTCATCACATCTAGTTAGTTAATGGTCGTCTATAGTGCCTTCAAAAGATATTCATGGTTTGGGGGTGGTTTATGTCTAAATTTACGCAACTATTTTTCCTGTTCATCATCTGTCGCCATATGCTGCTATTTTAGTAGCAACGACTCAATTTTGAATCGGTCCCGCCGACTGCACAATAAAAGAAGATAGATACAACACTTTTGCGGCATCACTGAAAAACTTATGCAGTACTGTTATCAAAATTCTCATAACACCGTTCGACAAACCTGAAGTCTTTTTGAAATAAATATGCTTGTATTTTTCGCTTCAGGCTCTGAGGCCAAAATAATGAATTTCGTAGTCGCAATCGCAAGATTTGGCTGCGTTTCTGGCGCTTGCCGTTCATTTGTGGCGCAAAATAATATTTGGAAACAAAGAAGAGTAGGCACTATGTACCCCCGAATTAGAATCTAATTAATTCTAAACCGAATCAACTCTAATTTAAATACGAATCTTTACAACCAAGCAACGACAAGGCGATAACATAAACAAAAACCCAAGCGTCGCTGTTTGAAACAAAAGCGCCATATACTGCGACTTTTTTATAGAGAAGGACAACGCATTTCGGTGGGTGTTACAAGTACTGCAAGTACTGCTTCTTTTTTGCAAAAATAAAAACCTTTTTCACATACGAAAATGTGCTAGGAAATTTTCATATTTTATAGAAACTACAGTAGAAATAGTATAGATGTCGAGTAATTTTTATTTAAGAAAAAAGAAAGCTCATTATCTCCCTTTAAGGTGTTCTAACATCTATATCTTCCGAATCCCTACCCTCCCACTGCCTCGGAGCTAAATGCGTTATGGATCATTGGATACAAACTCAAACTGACTTGCAAACCTTAGTTAAAAGGGGACATTTCACAATATAGTTAGATATCACTAAAGCGACTGAGTGGAGTGACTTACAAGGATAAAACTTCATCTCAGAAACGACGAAGAGAAAATTTGTTTGGAATTCCACTTACGGACCTCGCTCCCTACCCCTCCCCCCTGGTCGTCAGGATTATTTCACCAGACCTGGCATGGCTAATGTCGGCCGACCTGTGACGCCCCCCTCCCCCCCCAAAAAAAAACTTTCGCCTAGATCCGCCCCTGAACGTAAAACGAAAGACCTGGCTCATTGCCAGCGAGTAACTTCTCCATTCCTCCTGCTATATCCTTGTGCTAGCGAGAATGCAAAATTAAAAGTGTTGACAGTGTTGCGTGCCGGGCAGGTGAAGGACGCGCTGCTGGGCGGCGGCAGGGGCGATGGCGATTACAGCTACACGGTGACGCAGGAGGCCGGCGGCCACAGCGCCAAAGCGCGGCTGCGGCAGCGGACCGAGCAGTGCCGCCAGTGTGAGTACCGGCCTCAGTACCAGCCTCAGTGTCAGTACCGGCCTCAGTGCCAGCCTCAGTGTCAGTACCGGCCTCAGTGCCAGCCTCAGTGTCAGTACCGGCCTCAGTGCCAGCCTCAGTGTCAGTACCGGCCTCAGTGCCAGCCTCAGTGTCAGTACCGGCCTCAGTGCCAGCCTCAGTGTCAGTACCGGCCTCAGTGCCAGCCTCAGTGTCAGTACCGGCCTCAGTGCCAGCCTCAGTGTCAGGACCGGCCTCAGTGCCAGCCTCAGTGTCAGGACCGGCCTCAGTGCCAGCCTCAGTGTCAGGACCGGCCTCAGTGCCAGCCTCAGTGTCAGGACCGGCCTCAGTGCCAGCCTCAGTGTCAGTACCGGCCTCAGTGCCAGCCTTAGTGTCAGTACCGGCCTCAGTGCCAGCCTCAGTGTCAGTACCGGCCTCAGTGCCAGCCTCAGTGTCAGTACCGGCCTCAGTGCCAGCCTCAGTGTCAGTACCGGCCTCAGTGCCAGCCTCAGTGTCAGTACCGGCCTCAGTGCCAGCCTCAGTGTCAGTACCGGCCTCAGTGCCAGCCTCAGTGTCAGGACCGGCCTCAGTGCCAGCCTCAGTGTCAGGACCGGCCTCAGTGCCAGCCTCAGTGTCAGTACCGGCCTCAGTGCCAGCCTCAGTGTCAGTACCGGCCTCAGTGCCAGCCTCAGTGTCAGTACCGGCCTCAGTGCCAGCCTCAGTGTCAGTACCGGCCTCAGTGCCAGCCTCAGTGTCAGTACCGGCCTCAGTGCCAGCCTCAGTGTCAGTACCGGCCTCAGTGCCAGCCTCAGTGTCAGTACCGGCCTCAGTGTCAGTACCGGCCTCAGTGCCAGCCTCAGTGTCAGTACCGGCCTCAGTGCCAGCCTCAGTGTCAGTACCGGCCTCAGTGCCAGCCTCAGTGTCAGTACCGGCCTCAGTGCCAGCCTCAGTGTCAGTACCGGCCTCAGTGCCAGCCTCAGTGTCAGTACCGGCCTCAGTGCCAGCCTCAGTGTCAGTACCGGCCTCAGTGCCAGCCTCAGTGTCAGTACCGGCCTCAGTGCCAGCCTCAGTGTCAGTACCGGCCTCAGTGCCAGCCTCAGTGTCAGTACCGGCCTCAGTGCCAGCCTCAGTGTCAGTACCGGCCTCAGTGCCAGCCTCAGTGTCAGTACCGGCCTCAGTGCCAGCCTCAGTGTCAGTACCGGCCTCAGTGCCAGCCTCAGTGTCAGTACCGGCCTCAGTGCCAGCCTCAGTGTCAGTACCGGCCTCAGTGCCAGCCTCAGTGTCAGTACCGGCCTCAGTGCCAGCCTCAGTGTCAGTACCGGCCTCAGTGCCAGCCTCAGTGTCAGTACCGGCCTCAGTGCCAGCCATAGTGTCAGTACCGGCCTCAGTGCCAGCCTCAGTGTCAGTACCGGCCTCAGTGCCAGCCTCAGTGTCAGTACCGGCCTCAGTGCCAGCCTCAGTGTCAGTACCGGCCTCAGTGCCAGCCTCAGTGTCAGTACCGGCCTCAGTGCCAGCCTCAGTGTCAGTACCGGCCTCAGTGCCAGCCTCAGTGTCAGGACCGGCCTCAGTGCCAGCCTCAGTGTCAGGACCGGCCTCAGTGCCAGCCTCAGTGTCAGTACCGGCCTCAGTGCCAGCCTCAGTGTCAGTACCGGCCTCAGTGCCAGCCTCAGTGTCAGTACCGGCCTCAGTGCCAGCCTCAGTGTCAGTACCGGCCTCAGTGTCAGTACCGGCCTCAGTGCCAGCCTCAGTGTCAGTACCGGCCTCAGTGCCAGCCTCAGTGTCAGTACCGGCCTCAGTGCCAGCCTCAGTGTCAGTACCGGCCTCAGTGCCAGCCTCAGTGTCAGTACCGGCCTCAGTGCCAGCCTCAGTGTCAGTACCGGCCTCAGTGCCAGCCTCAGTGTCAGTACCGGCCTCAGTGCCAGCCTCAGTGTCAGTACCGGCCTCAGTGCCAGCCTCAGTGTCAGTACCGGCCTCAGTGCCAGCCTCAGTGTCAGTACCGGCCTCAGTGCCAGCCTCAGTGTCAGTACCGGCCTCAGTGCCAGCCTCAGTGTCAGTACCGGCCTCAGTGCCAGCCTCAGTGTCAGTACCGGCCTCAGTGCCAGCCTCAGTGTCAGTACCGGCCTCAGTGCCAGCCTCAGTGTCAGTACCGGCCTCAGTGCCAGCCTCAGTGTCAGTACCGGCCTCAGTGCCAGCCTCAGTGTCAGTACCGGCCTCAGTGCCAGCCTCAGTATCAGTACCGGCCTCAGTGACGCCAGCGCAATTATTTTTGTAGGGTAGATTCATCCTTTCTGTCAAGATAGGTACTGGACTGCTCTCGATGCATGTAGACTCATAACGCATATTGCACGTGTCATGTGCAAAACGAACAGGCGTCAATTTGCAATAATTTTGATAACTCGAACAACGACCGATCGCACAGAAACTTGGCATGCATGTAGGCCCAACAGGACAATGCATTGCCATGTGTCACGGTTGGGGTGCTACTGCACGTACGCCACGTACAGGGGTCGCTTTCAGATCTTGAGAACGTCTAGGCCGGCTGTGCTCAAATTTGTTTAAGTGTCATTAGGCTAGGTAAGGATATTAATGTGTCAAAAGGTTAGGTTAAGGCCGCCCCACACTGGACCTCGCATGCAGTGGCGTAGCCAGAAATCGGCGAAAGGGGGGGCCATGGTGCTCGAGGGGGGCGACTTTGCCCCTTGAGAGGGGCGCCATTGTGAGCTAGTGTCAGGGGCGTCAGTCTAAAATGTAACGTCATATATTCATGCATGATTTACTAGGTGTTGCAAAATACGAGGATAAGAACCAGGTTTCGCTTTTTTCCATAAAATCCAATTAATGCAATTTGCAGCCCGGTGTTTTTTATCAAAAACCTTGATCTTTATGCATATTTAGCACGATATAGGAAACGAGCTCAGTCTACGGACATTTTATTCTCAAAATACGCACCCATGCGAATTCGAAACGGTAAAATATACGTTGATCGATAGGCACAATCTTTATTCTTTGCAAAAAAAAAAAATACAGGTTCACTCACTGATCCCAAGTGACCTGTGAACTGCAGCCTCTGGTCAACCGGGGTGGCCGTGCTTAGAATCTCAGACCGCACGCATGTAGGATTCACGCTGCGACTAATTGCCTAAATTGAGTCAAGGAAAGACTTGAACATTTAAGACTATGATATCCACCATGAGATCCAAACTCATTGTCATACCAGCAGCGACTGCAGTCAGAGGCGACCGAACGCTGACCTGACACGTTCTGGATTTTTTTTTCTCCACAAATCACCTCTACCATTCGATGTCCAGTGCGCGAAGCCCCTACTTGTGGACATGCATGACTGCATGAGTGCCAGATGGGTGAGGCGTGAGACTGTCCCATATAGTGACACGAAGGTTTATGATGTCTTCGGCCGACGTAGTATAGAAGACGACTTTTGATGATGAGTGTGCATGATCGACTTTGAATAAGCGCCATAGAGACTTGCTGATCTCACCGAACATTCGCCTTGCGTAATCCCCTGACCAAATATCTACATTGAGGGCCAGGTCAATTTTGTGACCTCTCATTACCTATTAGTTAACCCTCGCCGTGCTGGTGGCCTGTGTTTTCCGTGTCGTGCTGGGGGGAGGGGGGGGGGCGTTTTCACGCGCCCCTCTAACTCGGCTCCTGGGCCACGTAGCGACACGCGGTAAGGGGCAATCAAAAGAGCGTAAAAAATAATGACGGAAAGACTTCGTTTAAGTTTTAGGTCAGTGTAATAGAAAATTGGACAACCGAACACCAGTTATGCCAAAAAGTCTCTCTGTATTCACAAAAATGCTCCAAATAAATTTGCACGTAAAATTATTTCCGCGTGAAATAATTTCACGCACTTAATTCAACTCACCTCTTCTGACACACCTCTTCAAGATCACTAAAACACTCAACACACACAAAATATCAAAAATGCTGACTTCGGTCACGAAACCGGCCAAGCAACACTTCGCTGGTCACAGAACCGCGGGCACCATAATCGGCTACCAAACCGTGCACCTTATCGGTCACCAAACCGGAGCACATCGCCGCTCACCACCCGGGCACCATCACCGGGCACCACCGCCGGTCTCCAGCACCGGTCTTCATCACCGGGATCTATCACCGGGATCCATCACCGGGCTCCATCACCGGAATCTATCACCGGGATCCGATCCATCACCGGGCTCCATCACCGGGATCCATCACCGGGATCCATCTCCGGGCTCCTCCAGCACCGGTCTCCATCACCGGTCTCAACCACCGGGATCCATCACCGGGATCCAGCACCGGGATCCAGCACCGGGCTTCGTCACCGGTATCCAAATCAGACGAAATCGAATCTATCGTTGCTCGTTGGTTCGTTCTCGTCTCGCCTCTTCGCCATTTCAGTAGCTTTGTTCGTATTCCCTGTCGAATTATATACAATACCGAAGACCGAAATAAGGCCGAAATAGCTTGTAATAGAAAATTAGACAACCGAACACCAGTAACTGTGATCTTCAGAAGCGCGTCGGACGCTCTGGAGGGGCGTCATTGGGCTTGAATGGGGCAACTTTAGTCTGAAGCGGGACGACTTCAGTCTCAAGGGGGAGGCGCTAGTGGCTCTTGAGGGCGCTATTGATCTCGGATAGGGCGACTGTGATCTTGAGAAGAGTGCGGGTGCTTTAGAGGGGCGCCAGTGGTTTCAGGGGCGCCATCGATCTTGGATGGGGCCGAATTGGGCATGGCTGTGAACTTCAGAAGGGCGCCGGGTGCTCTAGAGGGGCGCCATCAAGCTTTAATGGGGCGACTGTTCCGTTCAGGTGGGTGCCAGTGGCTCTGCAGGGGCGCCATCGACCCTGGGGGTTCGGAATATTCTGGTTTCCGGAGGGGCGCCCTTCAACATTTGGGGGCTCAGGTCGTATTTGGGGGTGCCCTGGAGAGCATTTAGGTGTCCAGGCACCCCCAAAGAGATATTGAGTTCGATCCCTGCCTGCACAGCACTT